TGTCCTTCCACTGGCACGACTCTATTCTACCTCGACGTTGGCTATCATCCGCCCTTGCCCTCCGACTTCTTGCTCCCCTCGCAACTCAACCCCTCCACCCCCTGCCCTTCTCTCAATGAATGGGTAGCAACAATGAACAGACTCCTTAGAGAAGCAACCGAAGCCCTTGAAAGAACACAAGAACAACAAGCAAACATGACTAACAAACACAGACGTGACGTGTCATTCGAAGTAGGGGACAAAGTYTGGCTCCCCGTCAAACGCTTTGAACCCGAACACGGCGTGTCCAAGAAACTCTCGAACAAGTGGCTCGAACCCTTCCYCGYCATTGAACAAACCTCCCCCGTCAACTACAAACTCCAACTTCCGCCTGACATGAGCCGTGTCCTCCCGGTCTTCCACGTAGAATACCTAAAAGAATACCATGAATCCCCACCCCAATTCGCTGACTGCCCTTACCCCAGACCTCCACCGATCATGCTCCCCACAAGCCTARAATTTGTAGTAGAATCCATCATAGGTCGACGAACCACACAAGTATCAGACCATCTGGAACCARTCACAGAATACAAAGGTAAATGGACTGGATACCCTGACGAAGAATCCACATTGGAACCTCTTCCTAACCTTAAGAATGCTATGAAACTTGTTTGCGCCTATGATTGTGCTCACCCTATATCCTAGATACATAATAAAACTCAAACCCTAAACCCTTGCATAAACCTTGCCTTGACCCCACCAAAACCCCGCATTCCTGCTCTATACACACCCTTGCCTCTTGAACCCCCCTCTAGCYGATCCGCTCTTGCCTCCACCGTGCCCCGTTCTATCCTTGTCTCTCTTGTCCAAGTTCTCTATGTGGCCCTGTGCGTCGCYGRCGATAATGGATCTAATGGCAAGCGCACGAGGACGATGGCATGCTGCAGCTCAGTACGAGGATATCAGACAGCTGGTTGGCYACCATGCTGTTCCCTTTGGCCGGCGCCTTGGACTCGCAGACTTCTGGAGCAGCACCTCTGACATGGACATCAAGATCAGTCTGCGACCTGCTATCCG